TTGTGGTGGATGTGAGACGGCGTGAAGGGATCGGACACTGGTCTGTGGCAGTGACGATCAGTGTGTAACGCCCGTGGCTTATTTCATAATCCAACTCCTTCATTGTGCTGATTTGTCCCTAAAACGAGAGGCCAAAACAAAAGGGGAAACGTTAGCTTTCGGCAATGAGGGCGTATGCTCATGGAATGTTGGGTAACGGGGCTCAATACCTTTGTGCAAAGTGAAACAGCAATGTGACAGTGTACTAACCGTAGTGCTGTTTATGTGAAAAGTGCCCATGATGTTCCCCTCTGTGATGGCATATGTAACTGTGCCGTTTGGCCCTTCGTCAAGGTCCACCGCATTGATGGTGATAAGGATTGCGTTAAGTGTGCCGGGGCCCTCATCCAGTGTGACTTCATACTGCTGCTGCCGAAATACTGGAGCATTGTCATTCTCATCCAGGACGGTGACATAGACCGTGGTAGTAGCCTGTGAGCAAACACTGACACATTCAGAATCATGCAAGGATAATAATAATAAAAATAATAAAATAAAGTGTCTAGATGCGAGCCATGCACTTAAGCCTACACACACATTTCCACACGCTTCCAGAGGTTAACAAATACATCCATCTTTAAGATTATGCCATGGTCAACTGTCAGGGTGGCTGTCTGGAGGAGGTCAGCAATAACTCACAGGGTGTTAGTGAAGTTAACGCTTTATTCAAAGAAACAAAACAGCTCAGGCAGAATGAGCAGCTTCCAAGCAGATTTTGCCCCAGTGAGGACTTAATGAGGCCTTTCCAACAGCTCTCCAAGTCTCCTCCTCCCCTGGTTCCTTCCCAAACACTCTGAGGCTCCTTCATCTTGTCTATCTTTGCTCTACCCTCTTCATACCTCTTCAGGTTCTGGCAGACCAGGGCGAAGTGGAGCTGGTCACCGCAGGAGGGGAAGACCTCCTCACCAGTCTGACTCACTGCCGCCTCTTGATGCCCCCTCGTCTCCAGCCTCCTCTTCTGCCTCTGATTCTGGACTTCTTTTTGCTACAGACTCTTCCTGCTTACTAAATCCTGCTACCTCTTCAGCTTCTCACACCTCCTCCCAGTCTGCTCCCTCTTCTCCCTCTAACCACTCGTTGATGTCCTACCCACCCCCTGGTTCTGAGCCTTCTTCCCTTGGGGGTTCCCCAGTTGGTGTCTCCCACCATTCCTCTGCATCCAGCCAGTCCATGACATCAACTGATGTTATCCAGGAGGCACAGCCACAGAAGGGATTAAATAAGACATTTGATCAGGCGTACTAAGCAAGCAAGCAACCAACACTAGCAATAGGCAACATTATTTTGGCAGTGCCTCTGAGAGATACTGAGGGGGTGTCCAGACAACCTGTTTAACAAGCATTATTGATGTTATCCAGGAGGCATGGCGAAAGGTATCACGGTATACAAATGAATGCATTGTGGTATATTAAAATAGGGCAGAACAATGGACCAGAATTTAATGAAACAACCTACTGTAATGTGTGAATAAACCCTGCAGTACAAAAAGGTCTGTTAACCCTTCCCAGTTGTCACAGGAGCCAAGCAAAATGCTCTCAGCAAACTACAGAATGTTCAGCTAATTCCACAACAGACTTCTAAAATAAAAACTATTAACTCTTTTTTTTCCCCCTTTGTAAATTTTGGGTCCACTCTGAAGGACTTGGGTGAAATATATCCATTTGGGTTTGCCATTCTTAAACAGAGTAGGGCAAACTTTGTCAATCTGGTCTGCATCTTGTGTTTCGAAAACTGCATCCCCCCCCCCCCATTCTGAAATCAAATATGAATCCCATGGGATTTGAGAGGAAGAAAGGAAAATGCCTAAGAAAGGAAGAACAGGCTGCTGGATCAGGCCAGCATCCTATTCTCATTGTGGTCAAACCAGATGCCTGTGGGAAGCCCCTAAGAAGTACCTGCAGCACTCTCCCCTCCTGAGATTTCCAGCAACTGGTATTCATATGCATTCTCTCTGGGATGAGGTAGAAGAAAGCCATTGTTAGCCTCATCTCCCATGAGTTGTCTCATCCTCTCTTGAAGCCATCCAAGTTGGTGGCCACCCCACCTCTCTGTTCCTGAATTAAAACTGTATGCACCTCAAGGTCAAAAGCCAAATCTAATAAACCAAGAGGATTTAGGAAAACTCTCCCACAGAGCCTTGCTGTGCACTTCCTCCACAGCCAGCAAGTAAGGATATACTTTCTGGACATACTGCCCACCTTGAAATACATGTGGTAAGGGAGTTTGGCTTTCCCTGTTATGGGGCAAGTTGCTTTGCAGAAGAATGCTATTTCTTATTTATGGAGAGAAGTACAGTTGAAAAGTTCTCCATGAAAAAAGAAGACTTGGGGACAAACCACATGTCATGAAGGAAATCGAAGAATGGCCGTGCAATTCTAACAATAAGACCTATTGAATTCACTAGGGATTAGTCCCAGGTAAGCAGAGTTAGGATTGCAGCCGAACACTCCCAATGTTTACTTTTATTTTTAAAGAAGTGTAAGAAACTCTGAATTTGATCAGAGCAGCTGTACTTGGGAAGGGAATGTTTAACTAGTCCCCAATCCAAATGCGCCCTCCCCGCAGATGCTGTGGTAAAATAATAATAAAGCCACTTCCGGACCTGGCCCAGGAGGTGGGGTTGCGGGCTTCACGCCCACCCCACGTGAGCGGGGGCTGGTTTCAGCCCCCGCGAGAGCAGGGGAATCCCGGCCGCGCCGTCCACCCAGCCAGCCAATCGGGTGGCTGGGGGGCGGGGCGGGGCCTGCCCTATTTAGGGCCGGCGTGGCCGGGGCTCGCCCTCTTTTGCCAGCTAGCCCCCATGTTTTCCCACCCTCCCTCCCTTTAGGTAGGTAGGTTTCTGACTTTGCTATGGACTTCGGTCTGTCGCCGCAAGGGGCATGGTAGGAATTTTTCCCAATTGGCAATTTGCAGCCATTTGGTTTTTTGCCTACCTCGTAGCAACTCATCACAACTCCTCGCATTGGCGGTTAGGCATTGGTAAGAAGGGGTTAAGAGGATGTGTGTGTGGGGGGAGGAACGCCATCATCTGCCCCCAGAGAATGAAGGGTGGTCCGGTAAAGGACTCTTGGGGGCGTGGCCCTGTCCGAAGCCTATGGAGGTGTGGGCCTAAGGCACGCCCCCGAGTGGTGACCCGGGGAGCTCCTAGTTGACGTGCCTTAGCAGGAGACTCCCCCACTATGGTGTTAACCCTTCCCGTGTCTCCAGCAAATGGGCTGGAGCCGGATAGTCGATAGGACCAATGCCTAAGCCAATGCCTCTCATTCCTGAATTCAATAAAGTTGTGGCCTAATTTGCCCATTTAACCTTAAATTCTGGTGTCTGGTGTCTTTATTTATCCTTGGTGGAGGGCAGGAACTCGCCATGCAATACATGGACCAAGTATTTATCATTGTCCCTTGTGGGGCTAATAGCAACTTGGAGAGACGATTTAGATCAGAGGAAGTGTTAAGCACCTTCAGCGCTGCTGCTCTTAACAAATTCAAACTGAATACCCTGACAAGACGTCATTAATGGAACATGAGCTCCCTTTCAGGCTAGATTTCAGAAACTGTTTCAGCAGGATGGTCTGCTCATGCAAATCAACTCCCTTTCCCTCCTTCCTTATCAGAAACAAGGGCTGATTCAATACATCAAAGGTTTGCTGCATTCTTCAAATTGTACCTGTCTGTTGAGGAGATTGAACAAGTGGCCTCAAAGCCTACTGTAAGCAGCACTGCCTTTCAGATAAGACCAACCAGCCCAATCAGTTTAATTGGCCACACACTGTTTCTGCAACATCTCCTAGACAAAGCTCCAGGAAATCATGTAACAACATAGTACACAGCAGAGCAATTATGCAACATTTTGTGGTTGAAGTGCTGTCTGATCACGCAAAAGACATCTTTGCTAAGAGCCTCTTGCAACTTTCCCTGCTTGGTTTTCACGTGTGAGCATGACATCTCCTTTCCCTTTGTACTCTTTTTGATCTTTCTTCTCTTGTCTTCATAGCCGCGCCATCTCAACTTACTGTTTTATCTGGTTACTTTAATATTGCTTTGTCAGAATCAAAGAGCATCTTTTAAAAGCACAGTTGAGAGAAAGGGAGGGAGAGAGAGAGAGAGAGAGAGAAAGCCAAGCACTGCATAAACCATTGGAGCTTAAGCTGACTGACATATCCACTTGACTCACAAACATAAGCAAATAAAATAAATAAATACCACGTGTCTCCTAAGATCACTTCCTCATCAGCACACAAGCACACACACTTGTGCACAACTTGTGTAGTAATAAGCAAATCTACTTTCAGCTCCAAAAGTACCAGATGCCGAGAGAAAAAGCACTGGGACGACTGACAAGCACCTGGCGATTTTTTCAAGTATTGGTTTCAAATGTTTGATACAACACTGCCTTTTAACAAGTCCATCTAGCCTCAATATTCCCTACTCTGGCTGGCAGTGGCTTTCTGGTCTACCTCATTCCTGCCCAAGAGCCAATAATTGGAAGTGGTGGTGGCTTGAATACTGAGGCAGCATCTGCCCAGGTGTGTTCTACCTCTGAGCTACACCATCTTTCTACATTGTTAACTTGAAATCCCTCCCCCTCCCCTAAGGCTTCCCCACCCGCCCCAATTCTAGCAAGAGGCAGTGTGCTCAACTGCAAATTCTCCGGTACCCAAACAGCAAAACCTGTCTGCATCAAACAACTCTTTGCAACCTACTTTTCTTCTGAAAGGAGAAAAAAGAAAAGGTTAAAGGCTTTGATAATTAAGTGGTATATAAATCCTGTTCAACAAACAAATGAATGGCGGGGACGGGAGGATGGCCTGACGAAGTTTGCACGCTACAGACGGGATAATCTCCCAACCTGTCAAATCGATGCGTCACATGCGCGAGGCATACCCGGTTTCTCTCTCGGCCTCCAGGGGGCGCCCTCCGTTCGCGCTGCCCGCCCGGTCCAAAGCGCGCGCACCCCCCCCCCCC